CCTGGGGTGTGGTGGTGACGAACTGGGTGTAGAGCTTTTAGAAGCCCGTGTGCATGAGGGCCCCCAAAGGATGCCCTGCTCTCTACTTCAGCCCACTGCTTACCTCAGGCCCAGGACAAGAGGTGGGAGCTGGGGGGGCCATGTTTGGGAAGAGGGGGCATTTGGTCAGTGCACACAGAAGCTTAGACCCAAGCACAGGACCCTGTGACAGTTGCAGAGGGGAGGGACTGGGCTCAAGATTCCCACCCCCCTACCCTGCCGCACGCTTAGATGAGCAGGGATGGCATGGGTCAGCCTGCCTCTCCTGATCCCCCCAGCCTGAGGGCAAGGGACCGATGTGACCATCGCCTTACCACCCAGTCCTCCCCCAGGTTACCCAGCTTTCTCGGGGAGCCCTCTGGCCTGGCCTGTGACCAGGGGCGACCTCTCCTGCCTCCCCAGCAAAGAAGAAAAGCACAAGTACAGAAAATAACTTCATAAAGAAACCATGAATTACAGTCTTGACACCCGGTCTCCCTCGAGGGCATGAGAGGACACATAGGCGAGAAGCCACCCAGGCGCTGGACTTTGGGTGGCAGCCCCGGCTGTGTACATTCTGCTCCAGGTCACTCACTGTCCCCTGAAGAGGTGGGGGACCAAGGCCCAAAGAGGGGGGGGGGCAGAATCGGGCCTAGACCCCAGACTCTCACCAAGCGGATTCTCCTGCAGGTAAAGGGTGGGTCAGGCAGCTCCCATGATCCTCCCTTGCAGGCCCCGAGTGCAGCACAGGGCCAGCTTCGTGGCCAGCAGGAAGTCAAAGGGATGAGAATGAGGACCCTTCCCCTGGGGTTCTCTGGGCCAGGACAGGAACCAGGCCTGGGTTTCTCAAACCTGCCCACCCCTATACATACAACATTCTCATCATACTTAAAGGATTGCTTCAAAATTCCGAGGTGGTGGGTAAGGGTCAGCTCCCAGGAAGGCTGGGGAGTTCTATGGGGCTGAGGAGACACCGTGGGGTTGTTAGTCCCTGAGGGGTCTGCGTGCCCCGTTCCAGTGGGAGGAGGTAAGAGAGTTGGAATAAGAGCCCCCAGGAAACTGGGCAAGGGTTGGACGGGAATGTGGGATGCTGGCTGCTAGCAGGGCAGGGTCAGCACCCAAATCCCCCAGAGGGCCCCTGTTCTTCTCAGAAATGCTTTCTCTTCCCTGGGGTGGGGGCTCAGACAGACAGACAGGCTGTCCCGGAGTCCTGGGCCCTCACCCTCAGGGGCAAGACCCAGGGCTCCTAGCTCATATGGTGGGGGCTAGGGAGCCTGGGGACCCTCATGGATGGGCTCCTGCCCAGCAAGCCCCCTCCCCAGGATGCTGCAGCAGGCCACAGCTTCTGTCCAGCCGGAGTGGGGGTGACACGAGTCCCTCAGTTCCAGACGGGTGTCATTGCAGGCTGCACGCTGTGCAGGGGACAAGGTGGTAGGTCAGTCAGGACTCTGGCAGAGCCTCAGCCCCTGACCCGCCCCAGCCTGGGAGAGGGCTCAGACCCCAGGGCAGGACTCACAGCTGCGAACCGACTCTGACAGCCCCTCCTTGTCCAGGGTCTCTGCTGCCCAGCGGGACTCCCTCATCTGGTGAACAAGCATGTGGAAGCGGGGGGCTGAACGGCAGCCAGGGCCCAGGACCAAGGCCGCTGCCACCAGCCAGTGAGCAAGCAGGAGCGTGAAGGGCAGACAGGGCTGGGGAGGAAGACACCCAGGGTGGTGGGGCACACGCAGAACCCACCAACCCTCCTCCAGGGACAGCCCGGTGCCCGCACCTTGACCTGCTCCTTCAGGTATTCTGCTCGAGCCATGAGGTCCTGAACCTGCCAAGGGAAGGCACAGCCGTGAGTGTGGGACAGGGGGCCTGCTCCTCCGCCTTGGCACTTTCCAGAACCTTCCCCACCCTGGGAACAGCTGCCCTGCGTTCCCACTTCTTGGCAGTTGGATCGCCCTGATGCCTGAGCACCCCGACCAAGTCTGCGAGGTCTGACTCCCAGTCTTGGGACACCCTGAGGAGGTCCCCACAGAGTGAAAGGGGAAGAGGAGGCACCCGCACCCTCCCAATCCCAGAGGGCACCTCAGTGTGAAGCAGCTCCCGCCTCCGGCCAGGGGCCTCCGCTGTAGAGAGATAGGGCTGGTGAGGGCAGGGCGTCTGGAGGGAGGCAGGACGGGTGGGCAGGGTGGCAGGGGCGGGGCTGGCCAGGGCTGGGCCGCAGGGGCAAGGCTGGTGAGGGTGGGGCTCGGGTGGAGGGGCCTCACCTGCCAGCAGCAGCAGCAGCTCCCCCAGGCTGTGCTGGTACAAGTCGAGTGCCTCCTGCTCCCCGCCAGCCTCCTCCTCCTGCAGCCACACGGACCCCGGCCGCTCAGAGCCTGACCGGGATTCCGCTCTCCCTGCCCCAACCCCGACTCCCGCCACAGGGCACCCACCTTGGCCAGGGCAGCCGAAGCTACTTCCAGGGCAGCCAAGAGGCGCGGCTTGTCCCGGGCCATTTCTGAGACAAGGGTACAGAGGTTCAGGGTGAGGGGTGCAGCCTCGGGGGCATGGTGGGTCAGCGGGGGACCAGGGCTTACCTCTGAGCAGGTCTCGGGTGGATGTTCCCTGTCTCAGCAGGGCCCGATTGGAGGAGGACACGATGGTTTTGAGCTCCTCAGCCCGGGACACATACTGCCCCACCTGCAGGAGGGCAAGGGGCTAAAGGCGGCGGCCCCACCCAACACCCCCACAGGCCCCGCTCACAGCACCCACACCTCCGAGTCCTCTCCCACAGCCTCCTCAGGCACTGCCCTATGATGGAACTGTGCCAGGGAAACTGGGGTTGGCCGGCCCCCGCTCAGCTCTCCACTGGAGAGGAAGCACAGTCTGAGCTGGCCACTGGGTCCCTGGACCTCCCTCACCCCCTCCCACCCCCCGCCACTCACAGGGGTCTCTCACTCACCCACCTTTGCCTTAATTGTCTCCTTCCGCTGGACATCCACCTCATCTGCAGAAGGTGGAGTTCAGGTGAGGAGCCTGGGAGGGGCCCTGCCCCACTCCAAGCCCTGCAGGGCCCCCTAGGCACTGAGTTCTGGCCTGCCCTCCAGAAGGGCCGAGCCGGCAGACTCCCTGGCTCGGGACTCACAGTGCAGGGCCGGCACGAAGAAGTCCAGAGCTCGGCAGTAGAGGGACAAGGCGGCTGCCGCGTCGCCCTCCTGGTCCTTCTTCACGGCCAGCACCACCAGGGCAGTCTGGGGGACAGGTAGATCGGAGGGCGGGGCCCCCTCTTAGATCCTACCCCCCACCGCAGCCCACCCCCACACTCAGCGAGAAGAAGAAGAAGATCCCAGGCTCCGCCTGCTCACCGCTCTCGCCAGGCTCTCCCCGCTCGGCATGTGCTCCAGGTCCACCCAGGGATGGGCGAAGAAGTCCTTGAAGGAGATACGGCGCCCGGGGTCCCGCTCCAGGAGCCGCTGCAGCAAGTCCCGGCAGTCCCGAGAGAGCGGGGGCCGCAGGGGGAGCTGCAGGGCCGCGCCAGAGAGTCCGTGGGCTCTGGTGCCCCACCCCCAAGGTGAGACCCCTGAGGGCCCCCTGCCTCTGCTTTGTCCCCGCAGTGCGCCAGGAACCCACACACCAGTCTGAGGCAGGGGGGGCGTGAGGTCTCCAACCTCAGGACCACCCCCCAACACCCACCGCGATAACCCGGTTTGTACCTCGATAACCCGGTTACTACGGATCTTCTCTTCCAGCTCTGAGAAGGACTTGGAGGCGAAGGGAGGCTGCCCAAATAGAGCTTCTGCAGATGGAGGCAGGGCAGAGACCGATGGGGGTAGTCACACCTGGCCGGGCCCACTCCCAGGGATGGGGCCAGGTGTCCCTCGGAGCTGGGGGCCCCGGAGGGGGCTGAGAGGTCTCCCTGGAGCCCGTTAGGGGTGGCCTTGCCCAAGGACAGACGTAGAACACAGCCCCAGGGGTGGGGCACAGGGGCCGGAGCGCTTACCGTAGAGGATGACCCCCACGGACCAGAGGTCCACTCGGGCGTCGTACTGCCGCCGGCACACCATCTCTGGGGCCATGTAGAGCGGGGAGCCTCGGAGCACGTGCTTCTCGTCCCACGGGGACATGTGCTGTGCGAAGCCGAAGTCTGCAGCAGGAGGCCAGTGCAAAGCTCAGCAGCCTCCACGCCTGGCCTCCAGCACTTCTGCACCCCCATACTCACCAGCCTCCACTCAGGCCGTCCCCTCTGTCTCGCCTGGAATGGCCTCCGAGTCTTCTCCCGAGGTGGACAGGCTCCCTCCTGCATAGCCCCTCGGGCATCCCTTCCCCTGATCACGCGGCTACATAGAGTGGCCCTGGCTGAGGACTAGAACTCTCCTTCCCTGCCCCCTGACTAAGCCCAGTCGATGCCATGTCCTCTGGCCTCCAACCTCGAGGCAAATCTTCAACTTCAGTGACTAGGCACAACCAGGGCGCCTTTGCCTCCCACCCTCATGCCCTCCTGCCCTGGCCTAGACGGGACCACTCTTAGGGGACTCAGCAAGAAGGGGTCCGTGAGAACGCAGTGGGCTCCGTGTCTGCCCAGCAGCTCCCCCCCCCCCAACCTCCTCCCTGCTGTCCCAGAAGCACACCTGCCAGTTTCAGGTGGGGCTTCTCCAAGGAGCTCAGCAGAATGTTCTGTGGCTTCAGATCCAGGTGAGAGACGTTTCGCTCGTGCAAGAACTGCAGGGCGCTAGCTGCAGGGTAGGACCCAGGAAAGAGCGAGAGGTCACAGGGGCCCCACGCCCACCTGCCTCGGCCGGCCGGCTTCCAGGAGCCTCTTTCCGCACACACTGCCCTGCGTGGTTCAGCGTTCGCTCCAGTCTGCTGCTCTTTTTGGCCCCTTCCCAAGCTCCCTGTCCCTAAGCTCCCTCCCAGCACTCTTAAGCTCTTCCTCTTTCCCTTGGCAGAACACTTGGGTCCCTCAAGCTGGGCCCTGGAAAAGGCTATGAGAGCGGTTCTCAACCTGTGGGTCGTGACCCCTTTGGGCGTGACACGACCCTTTCACAGGGTCGCCTGATTCATAACAGTAGCAAAATGACAGTGACCAAGTACCAACGAAAATAATGTTATGGTGGGGGGTGGGTCACCACCGCATGAGGAACTGTATTAAAGGGTCGCGGCATTAGGAAGCTTGAGAACCACTGGTCTATGAGGTCCTTCAGACTGCTCTGCATGTAGGAACTTGGATCACCACCACCCCCATCCCAAAGATGGGGGGCCCTCCTTCTGGTCCTCTCCCAGCATCTCTGAGCCAGGGCTGGGCCCCTGGGAAAGGTGAAGCCCAAACTCGGGATGGGAGACAATGCCAAGGTGCCGAGCCTGGGCCAGGTGAGTGGGAGGGCCGAGAACCTGGGGCAGGTGGGTGGGAGGGCCGAGAACCTGAGGCAGGTGGGTGGGAGGGCCGAGAACCTGGGGCAGGGCTGAGGTGCTGACCTAACTGCTGCATGAAGATTCGAGCCACCTTCTCGGGCAGAATCCGGCGGGCATGGATGAAGCGAGACAGGTCGCCGCCTGCACAGAACTCCATGATGAGGTAGATGTTGTCACCGTCCCACTGTGGTTAGAAGGAGAGGCGATCTGACGCCAGGGTCCCTCCCACACCCCTGGGGGCGGGGGGTGT